TCTTTCAAATGCGACTCTAGCTTTTTTTTTTCCTCAAAACTTTGTCTTCAAAATAACGGTGCATCTTATATTCCGAAAAATACGGTATTTGCTTCAATCGTGAGGCAATCGTGACGCCATAGAAAAACCGGCTATCATTTCTTCAGTTCTGTTCGTTTGTAGGAAGCAAGATAAAACGTTCTTGTGTAAGAGCTTTACAATTTATATTAGTCTTAATCAGATGTCGTAATTATACATGTGATTGGTGACTGTTTGACAATTACCCTAAAAATCATTGTTGATTTTGATATTAGATAAAGATTATTCAACGGGTTTCTATATTAAGAAGTGTGCCGTATGGAGCCTATCACTTTTTAAACACATTTTTATAAATTATTTTTGAATCAAATTGCTTATGAGTTCATGACTTTGTTAGTTACACCTTCCCTGATAACATATGACACACACACACGATTACAATGCTATCAAGTGATGACACAGATACTTTTACAAATAAGTATAAGTTGAGGGTTTTCTCCAGTAACTGTATATGTTATATAGAATAGTTGGTGATGTTTACGGTTTTGTATTATAGTATATCGCATCTGATTTGAAAGTGAAGTTTAAGACAGTCCTTTCTGCCCTTGTCCTGTGTGTACATGTTTGAAAGATCCCTTCTCTAGCCCCAGCAGCTAGTAGAAGTCACAATGGAAAGTTGTAACTTGACCGGTTGGTAATATACACTACAACTTTTGTAGATATATATTCTGACAAATTGTTTACTTGTTTTTGTTTTTTGTTGTCCGTATTCCATTTAATCTTAGCTTTAACAGCCCTGAAAATGCATCTTCGGGCGTATTAAACTTTTTGTTGAACATGCGTACAATTCCGCGTTTTATTAGTTGGTGGTTTTCGTGTTTTGAAGAATTTCTGTCGATCTTAGTTTTGTAACAATGTTGTTGCATTCAGTTAAGATTTCATCCCAGTGTTGAGATGTTTAGAAGCACATACCTCACCCTGTAAAAAGTCAATGGAATTTTAGTATGTAAATCGATTTATTTAAAACTTAGAATATTCAACTGTTGCAAAACTAATTAGGCTTCAGTAATTTTTTTTACAATTTCTTGTATAAACAGGAACAAGTCTGCTACTTGTGATGAAAAATATAAACACAAATCATTAAATTGGGATGTTTTTGTTGGAACCAAACTCACTTGTATATAATGACATTTAAGTTTTCCAATTATTTCAGAAATGTTTCATAGAAGTGGTATTGTTTTTGTTCACCCAGTACCTGGTGTTAATAGAACACTAATGCAGCAGTGTCACGTGGACTTGCTATTGGATATTTGCCTACATTTTACCAGGCTTGTTATTGGATATTTGCCTACATTTTACCAGGCTTGTTATTGGATATTTGCCTACATTTTACCAGGCTTGTTATTGGATATTTGCCTGCATCGTAGTTAGGACAGTAAAGAGGAATTAAGTTGAGAACATTGTTATAATGAATAATGAGTATCAGATTACTGCTAACAGTGTGGTCAGAGTAGATAGCACTCATGTTGACACGATATTGGAAGCATGCCAACAGCATTGCCGCCAGGTGGATCTCTTGCGAAATTAGGATTACAAATACGTTTTAACAGCAAACCAGTTAGAAGCAGTTATATCAATGTTAGAAAATTTATCTTTAGATTTTTTTTTCATCTTCAGATACAGGCATTGTACTAAAACCGCTGGAGTATATGCGTCTCAGATCAGCCTTTGTCCCACCTGCTGGGAAAATTAACCATCACCCTCCCATCCATTGACCCCTACCTGTAATACGAAGTAATTTTGTAACTCTAAATGTATACATCAAATTGCGTCTGTTTTGACGATATTCATACTTTTGTATAAGTGTTTGAAATTTTAAAGGATGTGTGCTTTAATCACTCCTAGTTAAAATATCTTCGTTTTTATGTCCAACTGTAGAGTACTGTCTATACAATTTTCTGAACTTGTGACCCAAGTGAATAACTAAAAAATTTAGAAGTTCGTGAAGCTCCAGGCTTATTAAATGTAGTAGATAGTGATGTGCAAATGTATGATTTTAATTAAAGGAGTTATCTGAGTTATTATTTGTGAGTCGTCTGTGCTTTTCAAGTTAATGAATTTATTATCTCATAGATTAAGGAAAGATTAGATATCACTATTAATAAAAGCAGAAGACCTAATATTACTAGCACTAATAGCGTAACAAAGAATAAATATGTTGAACAGTCCTGTAGTTTGAATGATGTGGATTAAAAAAAAACCTGAAAGTTTGCACAACCGCAACATTTTTTACGTATTCTGTCTGTAAAGACTAAGTGATGTACCTAAAATACTAAGACTGTGTGTATACATGAAAAATGACACATAATTATGACGTGTTATGAGAAGAGTCTATAAGCCCATTTTTGAGGTAGACAAAATTAACAGGGGGCACCTGATACATAGTTGCAACTTGTGAAAGGCTCACTCACCTGTGAAAAGGACTGGCGCAGCAATTCTGAAGCCTCCTCACGGGTCAACAACAAGGGACTTCCGTGTTCCAGCCAGAATATTAAACGGGTAAATTGGAAACACGGTTTTATTGTATTTATTTTGTAATTTAGTGTGCTGTTTTACTTGAATAAAAATGAATACGGTTGAGCTTGGGGTGGGGGTAAAATATTCTTTCCTCAGGGCCTTTATAGGCTTACATACTTCATTGACCTTAGTAGACTGTTGTAAATAGATCATAACAGAACTATCGGTAGAGCATTGCAAATTAAACTAGCAAAGTTTGGGTGTTTTATTAAAGTTTTATTTGTTGTCCTTTGGAATAGGTCTTCAGCTGATTTGCCAAAATATCACGGAAATTTTTTTATTTCAAGATATTCTTAAAAACAGTTTAATGAAAGTACGGAGGCCACGGAAGTTAACACAGTAGGATCATGGGAGCATTCTTTTTAAACATAATATATATATTACCTATTGAGTTCATGGTAACATCGTTGTTAGCGCACGACAAATGACACGCTATTGAACATTAAACATTATTAAGGTTAATTGGTGCGCTGTAGGGTGGTGTGGATATTCTGATGAGGTTACAGCAAGAAATAGGTAGCCCCCCTCCCCCCTCAAGTGGCTCAGCGGTAAGTCTTTGGGCTTATGGCACTGAATTTTGAGTTTCGATACCTGTGGTGCGCACAGCAGAAATAGCCCACTGTGTAGCTTTTTTGCTTAACAACAAACAAACAAAGACCTAGATAGATAGACTTCTCTAACGATGTTTGGAAAATAGAAGTGTGGCCAAGTTATAGAGTGTCAGCATGCGGAAATTTGATTCAGCACGTTTGTACAAACCTATTACTAAACTATATAACTGGAACAAGGTAAGGGATAAACAAGCAAGTGTTTTCTAAATCAGTTAGACTTTGAACAATATCATGTTTACTAATCTATACTCGATGCCTTCTTTATTCTTTTTCAGGCTACCAGGAATGTTTCCAAATGTGGGTACCTCTTCGTTGCTCCAGACTTTGATTTCTCGGTCCCGCTAAACAGAACAAAGGCAAGTTTGTTTCTTTTCTTTTGACATAAACAGTTTTCGTAGTCCTTAATTTTTAAAACAAGAGATAAGTCACGTGAGCAACGTGACTTATTTCGATTATTTAGTAAATTCATTATCAACAATACAGATCTAAAAACATAAAACAGCGCATGTTTGAAAAGTTAATAATGCACGAAACATAGACGTGTACTTAAACTTATACTTAATCACTACAATAACATACACATATAAGAATATGCATTTACGAAGAAACTTCGCATAATTAATTTAATTACTCGTCAATCCTTGGTTTTTCTAAGTAATCTTAATCAGTTGACGCCATATTATCACCGTTGTCCCTGGTTTTGATTCGTTCATTAACTTGTTGAGAAAAATGTGAGGAGTAATACAGGCTGAATTTGGGAGTGGTTACCGCTTTTGGACGCAAAATTTTCGGCGCCCAAATTTGAAATGTTATGTCATGAAAAAGATAGGTCAGTTTTATTTGTTTTGTTTGTAATTAAGCACAAAGCTGCACAATGGGCTATCTGTGCTCTGCCCACCACGGGTATCGACACCAGATTTCTAGCGTTGTAAGTCCGCAGACATACCGCTGTACTACTGGGGGGGGGGGCAGATAGGTCAGAAATCAAAAAGTAAAATAACAAATAAAGACAATAAAAACAAACGAAAATATTGCTTAACTTTTTCTCTATATCATGTGTTTTGATATTTTGTCTTATCCCAAAAATCAACATTAATATTTAACAGTATCTATTAGTTTTTCGAAAAGTATATACTAGTATTTTTCGCTTCGAGCGCCACCTAGAGCCAGTTGCTCAAATTATCGGCAAGCTTCCGTTTGTTTACTGCCATCCATTACTCTCTGTATGTAGCCCCCCTATCTGTAATGGAATTATTCTACTAAAATATGTCTCGATAATTATTAGGAAAAAATGTATCGCTAAATAAAAAAAACTATGTAGGGCTGTCTACTGAATTTGAAAAAAAATATTGTTTGTAATTAAGTACAAAGCTACACAATGGGCTATCTGTGCTCTGCCCACCACGGGTATCGAAACCCGGATTCTAGCGATGTAAGCCCGCAGACATACCGCTGTGCCACTGGGGGGCTGAAAAAAATGAAACCAAATGAAATAAACAAGATAGGGATGGAAGTGGACATATCACTTGATTAGGCTAGTAATCACATAGCAGACTAAGCCGTCTCGACTGTACATGGACAATATAATCCCTACATTACTGGCTTCCCCACTTTGTGTATCGAAAACTTGATGTTTGAATAGAATCTCAGCGTTCATCATTATAACTTTTCTTTAAAATACTACTTTTACGACTATTTTTACAATTGTGTAACATTTACGATTAGAAATTCTGTTACTCTTGTTTTTCCAGTGAGGACGCCAGTAATGTAGGGATTTCATTCTCCATGTAAAGTCGAAACGGCTTATTCTGCTATGTGATCATTAGCCGGATCAAGTGATATGTCCACTTCTATACTTATCTTGTTTGGTTCATTTAGTTTCTTTTTTCAAATTCGGTAAACAATCATACATAGCTTTTTTATTTAGCTATATTTATTTTTTTCTTAATACTTGTTTGTTTACTTTTTTATAAGATGGCGTACATGGGTTATTAGGTTATAGAGTGTATTCTAAAGTTATATAAATTTTGCAAAGAATAATAAAAAAATAAGTAGTCAAAGATAGTGAAGACTGTTTTACTCTATCAAATGAAGATAAAATTATAGTTACTGCTAGAACTAGATAGGTGTTGGGCCTGTTGAAGAAAGATCATAATGAACGAAAATAACAAATCTCGGTTTTGGCTATTCGCCGGTTTTCGATTTTAGAACGCTCTAGATAGCTGAAAAGCGGCATATACACCGGAGATAGGTAGTTCTTTATATCTATTTTCTGATGACCTGCAAAGAAGGAAATCCAGATGACTTTGTATTGCTTTAATACGGGAATCCATGCCATCTCTACATAGAAAGTGCTAGCGCACTCTTCTATTACTTATGAAAGACCACAATCTAGCATCACATCAGTGACCTTCCAAAGTACTGAAGACATGACCTGTGTACAAAACTACTCAAAGCTGCTGAATTTGGACAGCTTTCATTTCCAGTGACACTCACTGTCGTGGTTTCTTGATTCATGTTTTATACTGTTCCTGATAAAGCAGATAACGTTTGTTTTAAGTGTAGCACAAGTGTTAAATATAGTAATTTTTAGAAGCGATAGTTTATCGCAGGTTTGTTTAGGTAACTGTACGAGTCATACGTTGTGTAGTTCAGCCGTCGTAAATTGGCTTTTGTGATATTATTGCTTCATGCTGCTAGAACCTTCTAAGTTTTTCTCGAGTATTATTACATCATAATACCTCGTAGGGTGTGGAATGTTCTAGGCCTCAGTTGGGATGTTTATAAATACGCGTCCAAAATGTAGTTCAAGCATGACAAAATTTGACAGAGATATAGTCAAATAGATCTATATTGTGTAAAGAGCGTATAGTGACGCTTTTTTAAAAGTGAAATTATTGCAGCTTATATTTTAACAACAGAGTAAAGAACAACACGTTGTCTTGTCAGTTGTATTCTAAAGTAATTGAACAAATCTGTGTGTGGACTTTGATGAAAAGAGACAATTATTTAAAGCTCTGGGTACAACTGTGGTTTGTTTTGTTTTGAATTTCGCGCAAAGCAACACGAGGACTATCTGCTCTAGCGGTCCCTAATTTAACAGTGAAAAACTAAAGAGAAGGCAGCTAGTCATCACTACCCACTGCCAACTCTTGGGCTACTCTTTTACCAATGAATACTGGGATTGACCATCACGTTATAACGCCGCCACGGCTGAAAGGGTGAGCATGTTTGGTGGGACAGGGATTCGAACCTGTGACCCTCTGTTTGTGAGTCGAGAGTCTTAACCACCTGGCCATGCCAGGCCACAACTGTGCTAACCAATGATTTAACTATAGTGAAATTATCGCCAAAAGTATTGTAATAATAGAGCAGAATAGAATAGTTCATCTTGTTCATTGTGCTCTAAAGTAACTGAAACAACTTGTGCGGATTTTGACGAAAAGAGACGATTATTTAAAGCTCTGGATAGAACTGTGGTAATTGACTGTATTGAGAACATTTATATATACGTTGGACTTGTTTTAATATATTATTTGAAAATAAGTGGACTGTGTGCTGTTTATTTATTGTTGAAATTTATCGCCAACAAATCACAGACACCTACTGTAAAGGATTCGGGCCACACATACTAAAAATATGGTAATCTTAAGACTTCAATGTGTTACAGGTTGTTATGGTCGTATTACAAACGTCAGACATTACTGATATTATGCGAACTTTCCAGTACGCATTTTAAGATTCAGCAAACTAGTTTTTTTCAGCGGAATTAGACATTTTACATTCGTGCTCGTCAAAAACACGTAGGACCAACAGACAAATGTTGATAACCAGAGCGTTTTCAGAAAGTGAATTTTCGTTCATTAGGGGTAAGTGACACGTGGAGGCCTTGGCTCTAATTTATTTATTTTAATATCCTATGTATACGTCATCAGCTGAATTAAACGAAGAATAATGTATTGTAAACATACAGTATATACACTGCATAGACATTTATTTTGTTATGGTCGCAGACATAAACACCCTTCTTCACTAATTTGGCACCTGCCTTCAGTTAGCGCGTGACTAGTACTTTGTTAACGATTAATCCAAGTCTCGGATAACATAAGTTGGACCAGTAATAACGTGAGGCACATAACAGTTCCATATAACACAAGAATTGTCAGTATTAGTTCAGCATACAAAGCAGACTTACGTTAACCCTAAATCCAAACACTATGTCAACAATGCAAATTAATCTTCACGAAATCAATGATAATTAAAATAAGTATTTAAACATGTAATAGTGTTTAAATGTTAAAAAAATGCGTAATTTACTTGCACGGTACCAAATCAATGTTTATATTTGCATAACTAATCAGTGTACGAAGCTTTATCATATACTTACAGGTGTTAATGGATTTACATTTGTGCATATCCAACGTCACCGGACAGTGAATGTCACAGAGATTCATAAGAATAGATATATTATTACTAGCTGTGTATCCAGACAATGTGATGAAATATGAAAGTACAAAGAATTAGTTAAGACAGCTGTGTGGGAAAAATAATTATATGGTCAACAGTTTAGTAAAGTATTTTCAGTGGTTCCGATGAAGGTTATTTGACTGAAGCGTTTACCCAAATTATTTTGCCCTTGTGGGGATTTTATAAATTTCTTTTTATTTTCAGACACTTTTATGCTCTCTCTCTCTTGTTTTAAGTGTGTATCTGTTTGTTGGAAGTTAAGCACAAAGCTACACAGCGGGTTATCTGTGCTCTGCCCACCACGGGTATCGAAACCCAGTTTCTAGCGTTGTAACTCCGCAGATATATCGCTGTACCACGTGGGGGGGGGGGCTGCTTGTTTTAACAATTTATAGCGGCTCATCTCTTGACCGATTCGAGATCTAATTACAGTTTTGGACTCAGGAGGTCAAACCCTTCCGATTTATGTATTTGACCACGCCCAAGGTCTCATAGATTGATTTACTCTAATCCTGCCTAAAAGAATTTCAGTTTGAGGGTAGACTGGTAGAGATCCTGATGAGTAATAAAATAGAATCGGGTATACGTGTGCCCCACGCTTGGTATTACTGGCGCACAAACATATAGCTAATAAAAATGAAAAAAAAAGGTATCGTAGATTAATTTACTCTAATCCTACCCAAAAGAATTTCAAGTGTCAAGGCTACTGAGGATTCCCCCTTGTTTATTACATAATGATTCAAAAACCAAATCAATGATGTCAACCAATTTCACTGAGGTGACCTAGTTTCAAATGGAGTGTCCGCTTTGATATGGGTATTATTAACTAGTAGTAATTAAAAATAAATCATAATTCCAGCGTAAACGATGTTATTATTACCCCTTGAAG